TCTCCCCAGGTCTGTATCTAAATCTGGGGTCTAGTGAAATGAGCACTTTGATATGCAACCTCATACAAATTATTCATTTCCTGGATTTCTATTTCTCTGGTAGTTGGGCCCTGCCTCTCATTATAGCCTCATGCCACTTGTCTCTCAGCAACCCACACACTGGTAAGTTCTTCACATGTACTTGGCTCACCCTCATCCCAGAACATTCATCAGTCTCTTCTTCCCATGTGACTTTCACTTGTGTTTTTCATTATACCCACAACTCCCTTGATTTCATTAATTGATACACATTCTTTTGGTTTTATCTTAAAAATAATGTCATCTAGGAGAGATTTTCATGAACTGATGTATTAGTTAACTTTTCAATTAACCTGATGTGTTAGTCATCTATGACAAAATACCTGAGATAAATTAAAGGAGAAAAGGCTTGTTTTGGCTTATGGTTTCAGAGATTTTAGTCCAGAGTCACTGGGCTTTGTTTTTTCTGGGCCTCTGATGAGCCATGAATGTCATGGCTGTACACTTCTGATGATTAGGGAATTATTTCAGGATGTACATGTAAAATTTCAATCCCTCAGTAGAGAAATATTCAAAATCATGAAGATAGCAGATTAAGAAAAATTTTTGATCTCTAGGTGTTAAACACATTAATTTTCACAATTACTTTGTATCTTTCTAAGCATATCATTATTTACTTTTTATTCTACCTAAAATAGTCTTTCCTCACTCTTTCACCCAACTTTTCTTTGTTTCAGGAAGTCACGTTCATCCTTCAATGCCTGACTCAAAGTTCACTTTTACAGTAGAATGTTTTGTGTCCTTTGTCATCTACACAGGAAACATTAAATTTTTTTTCTAGTACTCAGTGGATATGGTGAATTCTCCATATATAACCCTCATTATTATTATTTATCTTTCAATGGGTATAGCATTTGTAAGGACAATGAACTTCTTTTTCATGTCTCTGAGTAGTTTAATATGTTCTTTGAGTAATAACCTGGAGAATTAAATTTTCATACCAGTTGAGTTATTCTCTTTCCATGACCTTACTTGGCATGACTCTTATTCTTGTTTTCCAATTTATTGGAACTCAAAATCACTGAGTTAGCCATGGTTATATTGGCAATGAAGCATAACCTCTGTTACTAATTGAGTCAGTTTTTTCATTACTGTCTCTGCTCCACATCCAACCATTAGTTTTGATTTGTGATCCTGGTGCTGAAAATAAGCAAATCAAGTTTCTCTTTTGCTGGTTGGGTCCTGTTAGGCATCACCAGAAAGGAGCTCAGAGGGTTTCCTGACTGCTTTCTGTGGGATTCCTTCCTGTCTGTTGCTCTTTGGTGACTCTTCACACAGTGGCTGTAGTTCTTTCTTCTGGAAGTAACTAACTCCTGTTTGGATATTTTCCCAACAAGTTCAGAATCAGCCTTGTCACCCATTATCCTCTCTTCTTCAGAGAAACAAGTACCAGGTGTTAGAAATGCTTTTCCTCATAGATCAGATCATGGTGAGCTTCCTGAATGCTAAGAGGAACAAGCACTATGTACAAGGGCCCAACTTGGTAATTTCAGATCTTTCCATTTTAATTCTTAGCACTTCGGGTGGTGGCATCTTCTCTAAATTGTTCTTTTCTTTATTTCTTTTTAACTTTCTGATTATGTATGACCTTTAACCTAAGAATTCTTTATGATTATTCTCTGGAAAACCAACAGGAATAATTTCTCTCTATCATTGGAACATAATGAAAAACCAAAAATTTACACTGAACATTGTACTTTGCTTTATTTTAACTCAATGGTTTCTATAAACTTTAAAAAAATAGAATAAAGTGTAACCAAAAACAGAATGAAGTGTAACAAATAACTGGTTTGGCCTCATTGTTCTCTGAAGTGGAAAATCCCACGTCTTTCACACTTGTACTTCTTTATTTCCTTAAATTTTAAGTTTTATTTTTTGCTTGTGTTTAAGGTGTACTACACAATGTGTTTGATGCATATAGTGAAATGATTGCAAAATAACATATCCATCACTTTCCATGGGTGCTTTTTTCTTTCCTGGGATAAATCCCACTTGATCATGGTGAAACTCCCTACACTCTGCTATTGGATTTAGTTTGCTATCATTTTTTTGAGGATTATTGCACTGATGTTAATCAAGGATGTTGACCTTAACCTTCTCTCTTGTATTTTTGTTTTTCTTTGGTGTAGAGTAATGCTGACATTGTAAAATGTGTTTTGGGGTATTCTCTTTTCATCAGGTTTTTGAAAAGTTTGAGAAGTTTTGGTATTAGTTCTTTAAATGTTTGTTGAATTTAACAATAAAGACTTCAGGTCCTGGACTTCTCTTTGATGAGATGTCTAAAAACATTTTTATTTCAATCTCCAAATTCATTATTGGCCTATTCACACTTCCCATTCTTAAATGAATCAGTCTTGGTAGGTTGCACGTGTTTAGGATTTTATTTCATTTATTTAGGTTATCCAACCCTTTTGTCTGATGATGTGAATCTTCTTGACACCCGTGCAAAACCACAAGGGGTTTTTTGGCGGGTGGTTGAGTGGGGGATTTGACCAGCAGGAAAACTGTCAGATTGGATGGAAAGGAACAGGAGCAGGAAACAAAAGAGAAATGAACAAAGGGAGAGCCATTCATGTGGAAGCTAGAGTTTGGACTGCTGCAATGAAGGGATAAGAGGACAGAGGACTGAGCCCCAGATAAATATTCTCAGGCCTTAAAACCTAGTAGAACTTACTCTTCTCTATCCCATATTTTAGACTAGTAATACCTTCATTCCTCTCATTCTCTGCCTTTAAAAATGTTTTAGTTGTAGAAGGACCTTTATTTTATTTATTTATATGTGGTGCTGAGATTTGAACCCAGTGCCACACAGATGCTAGGCAAGTGATCTATCACTGAACTACAATCCCAGGGCCTCATCTGTTCCTTTTGGAATGAGAATATCTACCCTATGTTTGGTCCATCATTTTATTTTGGAAGCAGATAACGTTTCCCCTAGTCTTTCAGGTCTCTCCCCCATTTCTAAATTAGATGATAAGATGATAAAGTTTGGGACACGTTGAGTTGATGTTTAGTTAAAATTTTGCAATTAGAGTTGATTCTGTAATGAGTTATGACATTTGTGGAAGTCAATATGGGATGAATGCACATGGAATGTACATGAATTTTGGGATGTCAGAGGGTGGGTTATTGTGAATTTAACTGTACAATCTAAAGATATATATTGAATCCTAAACCTGGGGACCCATGAGTGTGGCCTTGTTTGAATATAGGTTTTTTGCAGATACAATCAAGTTAAAAAGTCAATACTGATTAGATTGTACCCTTCTAATGACTGGTGTCCTTATTGGAAGGGAACTTTGGACACTGATATATACGTAGAACATCATGAGATGATGGAGGTGGAGATTTGAGGGTTTTTTTTTTTACAAGCCAAAGAAATCCATGAATTTTCAGCTAAGAAGAGGCAATGAGTGATTTAAAAGCCTCTAGAGCTTTTAAAGGGAGCATTGCCCTGACGACTCCTTGATTTTTGACTACTCAACTCTAAAATCATGAAAAAATAAATTTACATTGTTTAAGGTCACTAAACCTGTAGTACTTTATAACAGCCATAGGAAACTAATTGGCCCCATTTCTTCCCATTCTTTTCATTGGCTGCTTTCTTGAGAATGCCACACTCAAAAATTACTGAAATTCTATCAGTTTTTAAACTGCTCCAGACTCTTTCTCACCTACTGGGTTTTAAGCAATGTTCTTATCTCATCTGAATAACATATTTTGTTAGTTATTACACAACCAACTCTCAGTAGTTCAACAATTGATAAACATCCATTAAGTGTCACCTGAAACATAACTTTCTCCAGGATGCTCTCTTGATCCCTGTACATTACAGTAGGACTCCTGCTTCACCATCCTTTTACTCTCCTTTCATCATTTAGCACAGTGGCTCTTAATTTTGGCATATGTCAATCACTCAAGTAAATTCCCAAAGTGCAAATCCCTGGGCATGCACAGAATTACTTATTTAGCTGGTCTGTGTGGAATGATCTGGTTCCTTTTACCCATTCATATGTGTAAAAAATCCTCAGCTGGGCTGGGGTTGTGGCTCAGTGGTAGAGCACTCATGTAGCATGTGTGAAGCCCTGGTTTCAATCCTTAGCACCACATAAAAATAAATAAATAAATAAAATAAAGGTATTGTGTCTAACTACAACTAAAAAATAAAATATGAGAAAAAATATGTAGGAGCTGCTCCTGAGTGTGGAGGATATTATAACAGTCACATGACTCCAGTTTTGTATTGAGTGTGATGCAAATTCACTTGAGGGCATTTGGGATTATAATCCCAGTGACGTTAGCAAAAAAAAAAAAAAACCCATCATGGGCCAGGAAGTGAATTCTGTCAGCAATAACTAGGAAAATTTTGGTGCAGTTCTTAAAAAAAATGTGAGGGCACATTATCTTGATAGAGGTAAGAAGAGAGCCATTTGAAGGGTTTGGAATTTTCCTATGCTTCCAGCTTGTTTTAGGGGCTCCTTAAAGACTATCAGGGTTGAACAGGTTATTGTTGGCAAAGAATGTCTTTATGGAGATAGAACATAGCTTCTGCCACTAATTTACACACCCAGCTTTATCCTAACATCACTTATCCATCAACATTTCCTTCACCTATTCTTTAGAAAAGTAATATTAACAGTTTCTTGGGGTTTTTGTTAGTTCAGGCAGAGACATTTTTCATTAGAATCAAAGGGGAATATTTAAAATGTTTCTTCTAATAACTGATAAATGCACATATTAAATTCCCCTTCTGTAAATGTCCCTGACTTCAGGGACAACTATAACACCAGAAGGAACTTGTAGTTTAATAAAATAAGTAAACAAAAGTATACCTGCTAAAGGGCCTAGAGTGGTATCTATAGTTTTTGTGCCAGGTTCAGAACTCCAAGGTCAGCCCTGGTCCTAACAGATTCTCCTCCTACCCTGTCTGCAACAAGTCTTATTTGGGCTGGAAGCAGGCCTCCAGCTTTCACAGCAGCTTCTTGGACTCCAAATTCCAAGATCATAGAGGAAAATAAAGCCTGTTTCTGGCTGCTCTGTGACATGAAACCAAGAAAGCAGACAGGCAGAGTTCTCCACAAGGTCTTGTCTAGGTAGAACACAACACCTCAGAGAGTGTGAGAAGACCCCTATACAGTGGATTTGAGCAGAAATCACCAGTGCTGCAACCATCTGCACAGAAATCAGAGCCTCTGGGCTCAAGTAAGTCTCCAGACTCCAGACCCACATCCTGCAGTTCTAGCTCACACAGGACTCACAAGCAGATTAGCAGAAACACTTATCAGCACCTCTGCAGAATTCGAGACTGTGCTCAGCTCTCATGCAGGTCTCTCGGATGCTACCTATCCATAACACAAGTCCATCATCCAACTCCCCACACATCACCAGACACCTGTCCACATAAACAAATCCAAGAAGCAAAAGATCACCTCAACAGGTATATAGAGGTTCTTTAAAAAAAAAAACAGAAATCCTTGAAATGAAAGAACTAATAAACCAAATTAAAAACTCAAATGAAAGCATCACCATTAGAGTAGACCACTTAGAAGATAGGACATCAGACAATAAAGATAAAATAGATCATTTTGAAAAGTACATAGACCACACAGCCAAAATGATAAGGATCTATAGCAATTTTCCTCTAAAGTAAAAATGTTGATACACGTTCAAACTTTTTTTTTGTTTGTTTTTTAGAAAGAATAAATGCTAGGTTATTTAGCATTACATTTTGGTTAAAAAAGTTAGTTAAAACAATCAATTATGTTAGTGTTATATTTTGGTTAAAAGATCAGTTAAAACAATCAATTATGAGTTAAATTAAATCCAGATGGAATGTTCAATATAAAATATTAATTTTATTAACTAATGATTTACCTCAATGGACATCTAACCAGGAGTTCAGACTGATTTTAAATTTATAAAATTTGGGAAATGGATTTGGGGCTGAGTGGTGGCATGGGAGAATTAGTATTCCTTCTGACAAAGCAGTTTACTTTCTTTATCTTATTTTTCATTTATTTAACATATTTTAAGAACATCATCTGTGCTTGCTAGGAACACAGAGTTCAAAGAACATAATAAGGATTTCTAATGGTCTTATATTTCTTCCAAAAAGGAAGAGTTCAATTTGTGAGGAAAGGATGTACAACATGCTGTAGAAGAATCAATAAGATGGTGTTTGTAGTACTTAGTAAATGCAAAGTAGTCTCAGCTGTAGAGATGAGGTTTCAACCAGGTAGCCAAGGATGAGTGAACCCTCCAGAGTTAAAGAAGGGTAGGTGGAATTAAACACTGTGAAAATATCATTCCAGGCTGAGTAATAACAAGCACAAGTATGAACAGAGGGGCAGAGGAACATGGGATCATTGAGCAATCAGTGCTTTCTTAACATAGTCAGATATTAAAGAGGGTACATAACTAGAGAAGATATTTTAAAGAAATAAACAAAAGAATCAACTTTATCCTGAAGATCAAATGTTGATTCCTCAGTTGCTTAATAACTGCCCTTGAAGAAATGATAATGAGACTTTGTTCTGGAAGTGATCATGAGGCAGGTGGCTCAAAACTCAGAATGAAGAATCTTGTATCATGGATTGGCAGATGTTTTCTGTAAGGTCTAGGAAATGACCTTTAGATAATAAATAATTTAATATCTGTAGACCAAGATGCAAAGTTGAAGCTATAACATAGGTATTTATATAAAAAAGGAAAAGAAAATTTTCATATTTTTTGTTATTTTCCATAATTCATTTCCCAAATTACTTTAAAAATTTATTTATTTACTCTAATTTGTAACATAGGACAGCAGAATGTTTTTCATTTATTGCACATGTATAGAGCACAATTTTTGGTGTCTCTGGTTGTATACAAAGTAGAGTCACACAATTTGTGTCTTCATATATGTACTTAGGGCCATGATGTCCTTCTCATTCCACCCTCTTTCCTACCCCTTTCCCCTACCTAAAGTTCCTCCATTCCTCCCAAGCTCCCCCTCCCCTTCCCCATTATGGATCAGCATCCTCATATCAGAAAACATTCAGCATTTATTTTTTTGTGATTGGCTTACTTCACTTTGCCTAATATTCTCCAATTCTATCCATTTACCTGAAAATACCATAATTTTATTTTCTTTTAATGCTGAGTAATAAATCCATTGTGTATACACACCACATTTTCTTTATCCATTCATCTACTGAAGGACATCTAGGTTGGCTCCACAATTTAGCTATTGTGAATTATGCTGCTATAAACATTGATGTGGCTACATCATTATAGTATGGTGTCTTTAAGTCCTTTGGGTATAAACTGAGGAGTGGAATATCTGGGTCAAATGGGAGTTCCTTTCCAAGTTTTCCAAGGAATCTTCAAACTGCTTTCCAGATTGGTGGTAATAATTTGCAGTCCGACAAGCAATGTATGTGTGTGCCTTATTCCCCACATCCTTGCCAACAATCATTGTTGCTTGTAATTTTAATAACTGCCATTCTGACTGGAGTGAGATGAAATCTTAATTTTCATTAGCATTTCTCAAATTGCTAGAGATATTAAACATGTTTTTCAAAAATTTGTTGATTGATTGTATATCATCTTCTAAGAAGTCTTTCTTCAATTTCTTAGCCCATTTATTGATTTGGTTATTTGCTTTTTGGGTGTTAAGATTTTGGGGTTCTTTATATATCCCATAGATTAGTGCTTTGTCTGATGTGCATGTGGTAAAAATTTGAAGTTTAGTATGTCTTGTCTAGTTTGGAAGATTGCTCTACTGAAGGGGGATATTAACAGGCGAATGGATCAGGGTATTTGGTAATAGCTAGGTATTTAGAAGCCCTATAGATAGCCTCAGAACATTCACCTATTTTCATTTAGAAAATTACACATAATGAAAGTTGTAATGCTTGAGATGAAAGTTAGAGGGAAGGGGAAGGAGGAGTCCTTAAATAGAAAGAGGGAGAGAAAAATAGGTAGAATAAAAGAGAATGGAAAGAACAATAAAAATTGAAAAGGGAAAAGAAAAAAAAAATGATAAATGAAGTCTTAGAGTTCTATTTTCTTCTCTTCCAGTAGGTGGAGCTGTGCCCTCTTAGCCAAGCTTCTGCCCTCTATGTGCTGGCAGCAATCCTTGTAAGGTGGCTCCTCTTCCCCTACTGGGCGTCTCTTCAATCCTGTTAGTCCAGAGCCATTTCTCTTTTCTGCCCCTCCCCCCTTCTCCTGCCAGCCATCCCAGCCTGGCTCCCCAGAGGCGATTTCCACAGACCTAGTTACTCTTGCAGCCCCCCTGAGTGCCCTATTTCTCAAACCACGGAACACTCTCTCTGTTTGTCATTCATCCAGACCCCAAGGTTGTGGAGCGGGTGATCTAGGATTTGTCTGGACCCCTTCGGTGGCCATGCCTCCAGGAACTGGCGGCTAAGGCCTTGGGTGTCACCGCTGGTGGTAGAGGGAGTTGGGGGTCGGGAATCCCCTCTGCTTCCCTCAGGCCCTACAGTCATGAACACAGAGCTCTGGGGCGAGATTTTTGAGGTTTCCCAGCTGTATGCATCTGGTGGGGATGGGAGTCACACACCTGTTGAAGCGATTCCGCTGGGAAGGGATCCCATTCGCCAAACTATGGTGACATCAGCTTTCTGCTATGGCGGGCCCCAGACTCCTTGCCAGAGTGCCTGATGGCAGGGGTGGGTCTGGCCTGTCTCTGGTCTGTCCCAGACTCAGTTTCAGTTCTGGTCCTCTTTAATTTCTTTCTTTAGCCTTCTATTGTTTTGTTGTAGTGGTCTTTAACCTCTTTTGTTAGGTTAATTCCCAAGTATTTTATTTTGGGAGGAGGCTATCACAAATGGGGTAGTTTTCCTCATTTCCCTTTCAGAGTATTTGTCAGTGATGTACAGAAATCCCTTTGATTTATGGGTATTAACTTTGTATCCTGCTACTTTGATGAACTCATGTACTAGTTCTAGAATTTTTCTGTTTAAATTTTTGGTCTTCCAGATATAGAATCATATCATCAGCAATTGACGCTAATTTGAGTTCTTATTTTTACTATCCATATTCTTTTAATTTCTTTCTTCTCTTTAATTGCTCTGGCCAGTTTTTCAAGAACTATGTTAAAAAGAAGTGGTGAAAGAGGGCATTTCTTTCTTGTTTCAGTTTTTAGATGGAGTGCTTTCTGAAAGCTGGAAGAATATGAAACCATGGGTTCCTTTCCCCCAGCACACCAATTAAACAATAACTTATGGGAAAATTTCTTTTCTAAAAAATCTAGAAACTAATTGAGAAGGTTCTGCTCCTTAAGCAACTGTGAAACCAGACACATCAAAGTTAGGAGGTAAATTAGCAACACCTTCTCTCCAGTATCCCAACCTCTGGCACAGTACCATATGATTAAGAGGAAACTTTCTTGGTCTTAGATTTTCCAAGGACAGAAAAGTTGGGGCTTAGTGGTAGAGCACTTGCCTAGCATGGATGAGGCACTGAGTTGAATCCCTGGTACCACATAAAAATTAAAACAACTGACTCAACATGGCAGTGGGCAGGGAGGTAGCGCTTTCAGTACCTCCTCAGCCACGTGGACAGAGAGACACATCAGAATGTTTAGATTCTACCTTCTGAGAAACTCCCAGGAAAATTCCGCTGAAGTGAGACCTAGATAGGGAATTTGGGATTATTGGAGGTGACAGCTTGCCCCGGACAGGTGAATCTTGCCCACCATGCATGGAGGTCCAAGCTGCCGCTACCTGGCGACCAGCACAGAAGGAGGCGTTTCAGCACTGCCAGATATCGTGTGCGGCGTAGAGACCCTTTGAAGAGGTTGCTAACCAATCCTTCATGAAACAGAGAATGGCTCACCATGGAATGTGTTCTTTTCTGTTAGGAGGTCCATGACCAAGAACTTGCAATATTCTGAAGGGAAGTCATAGCCTCCCGTATTTCAATCCACAGGTATGTATTGGAGGACATAAACTCATCTCAGGCAGGACACTGGTTCATTACAAGTGTAAAGACACATTGAAGTAACACTTAATTTTTACATACAAGTTCTTTGCCTATGTCCATATTAAAATCCAAATTCAACACACATACAAACAAATTCTAAAATACTGAAATAGTGTTTGTGGGGCTTTTTTGTTTGTTTGTTTTGTTTGTTTGTTTGTTTTGAGAACACACATTTAATCTATTGATGGTCTTTTGTGGCAATATGTTGATCAATCTGAGATCTTCTCAAATAATTTACATACTCCAAATGTGTGATGTATATTCATGTATATATATGTATATATATGCATGCATATATACCAATCATTTGGAGTGATTGGAGTGTGTTTTATATATTTATTTATATATAAATGTTATACTTGGTAATAGCCTCAGGTTGATCTTTCTTCAGAACCCAATATTGACCTTATTTCTTTTGGAAATTTTATGAGGAGTAGTAGAATTAGATCATATTGTGGTTTCATTCCTAGTCTTTTGAGGAAACTTCATACTGATTTCCACAGTGTATGTACTAATTTGCAGTCTTGCCAATAATGTATATCTGTACATTTTCCCCAAAGTTCTGGTAAGCCATTACTATTACTTGTATTCTTTATGAGTCCATTGTACCTGAATTGAAATAAAAGCTTAATGAATTTCACTGTTAGCTAAAGATATCAAACACTTTTTCATATACTTGTTGGCCATTTGATTTTTTTCTTTTGAAAAATGTCTATTCAGTTTATTTTTCCATTTTTAATAAGTTATTGTTATTTTGGTGTTAAATTGGTTTTCCTGTGTGTGTTCTTTGTGTATTCTGGGTATTAATTATTCAGAAGAATAATGGCAACAGTTTTGTCCCATATTGTAGGCTCTCTTCATACTGTTAGTTGTTTCCTTTTCTATGCAGAAGCTTTTTAGTTTGATGTAATTCCATTTATTAATTTTTTGTTTTATTTCTTGACATTTAGGGGCTTTATTAAGAAAATTTTCCCCTATGGTTATATGTTGGAGTGATGCTTCTGTGTTTTCTCCTAGGAGTTCAAAGTTTGGGGTCTAAATCCTAGAGCATTAATGCACTTTGAGTTGACTTTAGTACAGGACTAGAGATAAGGATCTAGTTTTAGTCTTGTACATGTGGATATCCAATTTTCCTAGCATCATTTTTAAAAATTCTCTTTTTCCCCAATGTATGTTATTGGCATCTTTATTAAGGTCATATGATCATAATCTGTGTAGGTTATTTTCTGTCTTTTATTTTATTCTATTGGTCCACTTGTCCACTTATTATTGCAGTATCATGCTATTTTTCTTGCTATAGCTCTGTATTATAATTTTAAATCTCGTATTATGATTCACTAGTATTACACTTTTTGTTTAGATTTACTTTGAGAAAAAATATAAGAAATTTTTAATTTTTTCTTCTCTAATTGCTCCATCTAAAATTTCAAGCATTATATTGAATAGGAATGGTGAGATTTGACATTCTTGTCTTGATCCTGGTTTTAGAAAAAAAATGCTTCTAATTTTTCCCCATTCCATATGATGTTGGTTTTTGCTTTGTTATGTATACATGTATGATGTTTAGGTAAGTTCCTTCTATCTTTATTTTCTTCACTGTTTTTAAAATGAATGGGTGCTTTATTTTTTCAAATATTTTTTATGCATCTAAATTGATAATCATATGATTTTTGTTCTTATTTCTTATGTGTTGAATTACATTTATTGTTTTGCATTTGTTGAATGATTCTTAAATCTCTGAGATGAAATCCATATAATCATCATGTTCAATTTTCTTAACTGTGTTTTTAAAGAATAATTACTAATATTTCAATGAGGGTTTTTGAATTGTTATTCATCAAGAATATTGGTCTGAAATTTTCTTTCTTTGATGTGTCTTTACCTGGTTTTAGTATCAGGGTGATATTGGTTTTATGGAATAAACTGGGGAGTGTTCCCCTTTCGGTTTTATAAAATTATTCAAGAGATATTGGCACTACTTCTTTCTAAAAAAGTCTGGCTTACCAGAGACAAATTCATATAAATACAGTTATCTCATATTGTACAAAGGCACCATAAAAATACATTCAAGAAAAGATAGCCTCTTCAAGAAATGTCGCTGAAAAAACTGAAAATCATTGTAGCAAAATGAAAATAAACTCCTACCTCTCACCCAGCACAAAACTCAACTCAAAGTGGATCAAGGATCTATGCATTAGACCAGAGATCCTACTCCTATGAGAGAAAAAGTAGGCCCAAATCTGAATCATGTTGGCTTAGGAACCAAATTCCTTGAAAGGCTCACAAAGCATAAGAATTAAAATCAAGAATCAACAAATGGGATTGTATCAAACTAAAAATTTCTTTACAGCAAAGCAAATAATCAATAACATGAAGGGAGAGCATAGGGAATGGGAGAACATCTTTGTCACCTTTACCTCAGATAAAACTTTAATCTTCTAGATATATAGAGAACTCAAAAAACTTAACACCAAAAATCCAAATAACCCAATCAATAAATGTGCTACAGAATTGAACGGACACTGTACAGAACAAATATGAATGGTCAGAAAATGTTCAACGTCTCTAGCAATTAGAAAAATGCAAAATAAAACTGCACTGAGATTTCTTCTTTCTCTAGTTAGAAATTATCAAGAATACAATTAAAATAAATGTTGAATAAGATATGGGGATAAATGTACACTTATACATTGCAAATTGGTGCAACCACTCTGCACAGCAGTATGGAGAATCCTCAGAAAACTTGGACTGGAACCACCATTTGACCCAGTTATTCCACTTCTTGACATATACCCAAAGAACTTAAAATCAGCATACCAGAGACTACCAAGGGAGGTCAAGTCCTGTGGACTAGATCAACCAACACCAGGTGTGTGGGTCCCAGGTGTTTAGCAGGCTCAGTTCACCCCTCCCCTGGCAGAGCAGACACCTACTAGAGTTTAGGCTCTGGTGAAGGACTGCCCCTTCTGATGGGCAGACCACTGAAGGAGGTCAAACCCAGTGATCCAGAACCACCCACACCAACTTGCACAGGAACCAGATCCAGAATGCAGTAGCGTTCATTGAGGAAAACCAGCAGGGTCTGGAAAACCAACATCAAAGTGAGATAGAGACAATCTACATGGGTACTACAAGAATATGGAGAAGAAACTGTAATACCTCAGATCCACACTGCAAGAAAGGAAGACACACAGACAACATGAAAAAAAACACGGGAGGAAAGTGCCTCAAACCAACCAGGAAACTATAATAACAGAACCCACAGACAGCAAAGTTGATGAAATGTCATAGAAGGAATTCAGAATGTTCATAATTAAAATGATCTGTGAACTAAAGAATGACATAAATGAGCAAATACAGGCAAAAATTGATCACTCCAACAATGAGATAAGAGAGCAAATACAGGTAACAAAAGATGAGAGAGAGAGAGAGAGAGAGAGAGAGAGAGA